ACTCTTGTAGGACACTCTTGCGGGGCATTCTTATGGGACACTCTTGTGGGACACTCTTGCAGGACACTCTTGTGGGACACTCTTGTGGGACACTCTTGTAGGAAACTCTTGTGGGGCACTCTTGTAGGACACTCTTGTGGGACACTCTTATGGGGAACTCTTGCGGGACATTCTTATGGGACGCTCTTGTGGGTGACTCTTGTGGGACGCCCTTGTAGGACACTCTTGCGGGGCATTCTTATGGGACACTCTTGCGGGACACTCTTGTGGGACACTCTTGTAGGAAACTCTTGTGGGTCACTCTTGTGGGGCACTCTTGTAGGACACTCTTGTGGGACACTCTTGTGGGGCACTCTTGTAGGAAACTCTTGTGGGACACCCTTGTGAGACACTCTTGTGGGACACCAGAGTGTTCTTGTAGGAAACTCTTGCGGGACACTCTTATAGGACACTCTTGTGGGACACTCTTATGGGACACTCTTGTGGGACACTCTTGTAGGACACTCTTGTGGGTCACTCTTGTGGGACACTCTTGTAGGGCACTCTTGTGGGACACTCTGGTGGGACACTCTGGTGGGACACTCTTGTAGGAAACTCTTGTGGGACACTCTTGTAGGACACTCTTGTGGGGCATTCTTATGGGACACTCTTGTGGGGCACTCTGGTGGGAGACTCTTGTAGGAATCTCTTGTGGGACACTCTTGTGGGACACTCTTGTAGGACACTCTTGTGGGGCACTCTTGTGGGGCACTCTGGTGGGAGACTCTTGTAGGAATCTCTTGTGGGACACTCTTGTGGGACACTCTTGTAGGACACTCTTGTGGGACACTCTGGTGGGAGACTCTTGTAGGAATCTCTTGTGGGACACTCTTGTGGGACACTCTTGTAGGACACTCTTATGGGGAACTCTTGCGGGACATTCTTATGGGACGCTCTTGTGGGTGACTCTTGTGGGACGCCCTTGTGGGACACTCTTGCGGGGCATTCTTGTAGGACCCTCTTGTGGGACACTCTTGTGGGACACTCTTGTGGGACACTCTTGTGGGACGCTCTTGTGGGACACTCTTGTGGGTCACTCTTGTGGGACACTCTTGTAGGGCACTCTTGTGGGACACTCTGGTGGGACACTCT